CCGCCATGCAGGAGTGAGCAGGATCTGTAGGATGTAGGAGCTTCATAACACCGCCATGCAGGAGTGAGCAGGATCTGTAGGATGTAGGAGCTTCACCACACCGCTATGTAGGAGTGAGCAGGATCTGTAGGATGTAGGAGCTTCACCACACCGCCATGCAGGAGTGAGCAGGATCTGTAGGATGTAGGTAACCCTCTCCTCGAGTAATATTGGGAGGTGACAACCTGTACCAGGTTGCGAGGTCGGCTCGAGGACGCCACTGTCGCAATAAGTTACATCTGGAAGCATGCGGTACAATGATAGTTGCTAATCCTAGTCAAATAATTTTCTCGTACAATCTAACTTACTGAGTTATTTCATGTCTGTGTTTCATTCAATGAGTGAAACGTATCAAACGCACCAAATATTTTCACCATCAAATTTTCAATAGCGTAAATTCATAATATACATGCCCTATGTATCACTAGTCATATAGTGTAATAGGCGAGCAATACCAAGTATGGATCACTCAAACTTGCTGGCCGTCCAAAAAAAATTCATAAACAGGTCTGTTCAAATTCGATAGTTAAAAAATCTGAGATCTACAAACCATGTATCTGATTTTCAATCCATGAATAAGCAAGTTCTATTCTTTAAATTTCTTATAGTGACTTTCTTGTTCTAACCTAACGATAAACTGTATTAATAAAACCCTATGTTCAACAGTGGGCTTTCATCGAAGCATACAAGCTTGAGGCCGCCACGCCAACATACTTCCTGCTCTGGCCAACCTCATTTCCTGAAGAATGCTTCTACCTCCGACCTCATTTGCTCGCGAGCGCAGCAGTTCTTGGAGCTGACGAGCACAGCATTACTTACGGTTGGCGAGCGCAACAATTTTTTCCGGGCAAGAAAGCGCCATTTTTCTTCTGACTGTCTAGCGCAGCATTTTTTCGGGCTGACGAGCACAGCATTACTTACGGTTGGCGAACGCAACGATTTTTTCCGGGCAAGAAAGCGCCATTTTTCTTCTGATTATTGAGCGCAGCATCTTTTGGAGCTGACGAGCACAGCATTACTTACGGTTGGCGAGCGCAACATTTTTTTCTGGGCAAAAAAGCGTCATTTTTCTTCTGGTTGTCGAGCGCAGCATTTTTTCGGGCTGGCGACCACAGCATTTCTAGCGGCTGGCGAGAGCAGTAATTTTTTTCCGAGCATGGCAAGCGCAGCATTTCTTTGGTCTGGCGAACGCAGCATTTCTGAGTGCCTGAGATGTGCCATGTGCCTTTGCAGCCATTGAACGATAGTACCCACATTGTTTAAAGCTTGATCTAAATTGTTGAACATTTAATTAAAATTTTCTAAGACGCTAAACAGAATAGCACGCCTAAATAAACATCTATAAATCAGAATTAATAGGTAATTTATAAAGACTAATTTTTGTTACAGTTAAGCCGACCTTATTCATACACATGCCACTATTGACAACATAGCTAAACTTCCTTATGAGCGTTCAATCAAACCAATCATATACACATTAAATTTTCAAATAATAAGGGGTTACTTATAAAAGGTAGGTAGTAAGCAACAAAAGTTATTAAAAAATAGTCAGAACGTTGAGAATAAAGCAGAGCATGACGATTAGTTCTCGTTATCAGGTCTCCAGGTGAGAGTTAAATTAACGACGCTTAAATATATGCGTATACAGACAAATTTTTGAATTCAGTTATCAAAGCGAGCAAGATGCACACCGCGAGCGTCTCATTGCAGCGGACTGACGCCCCACGCAACAAAGGGGCCTTACGCCCACAACGGCCACCCTGCGCCTCACAATGGCCACCCTGCGCCTCACAATGGCCCCCCTGCGCCCCACAATGCCCCACCTGCACCAAACAATAGCCCCATCTGCCTGCGCCCAGCAATGGCCCAGCTCGAGCAAATAAAGGGGCCGACGTCTGGATTAACTTGCATTCACTCTGACAATTCGAGCGCTCAGAAGTTATGGAAAGCTTTGAAGGGAAACTCGAGCGTCAGCGACATCACAAGGCAAATAAAAAAGATGGCGAGCATCGATGTCTTTTATTTAAAGCTTCAGGGATGGATAAAGTTAGGGGGAGTTGCTAGAGCCTCGACACGAGCACAATTACAGCAAATTACAACTAAGCATTAGTAAGAAAATAGAGATACGAAGAAGTGAAATTGTTCAAGCGCATACGTACAAATAAAATGTATCAAGTTTGAAATGCTCTGACCGATGAAAATAATTCCAGATTCATTAGATTAATATAAAATAATGATACAGTTAGAAAAAATATAAAACGAGAAAGATTGAACAATGTAGGATAATATGATAGTTATTAAAAAATGTAGAAGTATGTAAGATTGTAGGATGCATAGTGAAATGAAAGGGAACGAAACAATTAGAAAAGAGTAAAGGCAAGTATTAACTAACAATATCACAGCAAACGAATAAATTTAAAACATTATGGCCAACGAAACAATCATTATAACATGCCGAGAGAATTTGAATGACGGTTCAAATGGCATTCAATTGAATATATGAATTAATATTGTGTAATACTGCTACACAATACATTTTACGAATTATACAGTAGTGAATCCGTAAAGCCCTTCAAACCAAATTACTAGTTGGACGTCCATTTACATCTGTATGCTTATGAAACAATAAAGTTATTTAAAATTAGTAAGTTTGAAAACCAAATTTCATTAAATTTAAGTTGATCTTTACTAAAAGCAGAAATCAATTGACGAGATGCTGTAAATATCCAGTTATCCACTTCCCTTACCCAATTTTCGTTCAATAAAAATACTTTTTTTCCTACATAGTATTTTGCACATACGTACTCAATGTGAACAAGAGCAAGCATAGAAAATTTTGCATGTCTTATACAATTTTTAAAACTAAAACACGTTTTATATATGATCTTAAATAGACATCTATTTATTGATAGCAAAAAATAGACACATTTGAGGTACTTACAACTTTGCCCGGTGGAACACAGATGTTTTCAGTGATACTTTGAGTTTAATAGTTCGAAATATTTATAGGATTTAGCAAATAAGTTTCAAGTTCAGCTGTAGTATTTACAGTGTAACGAACAGCCATATTGAATTCTGAAGTATATTGATTTCTCACTCATGGCGGGATCAAAAGTCTGACTTTTTTCAGCCTGAGTTCAATCTAGCTTCCTCCTCCCACCTGTTGCGGTCTTCACAATACCTGTTGCTGAGAAGACAGAGAACACTTACTCGACAACCTCACTCAGCACAGGTTGAACGCGCACTAATCTCGCTAGTAGTGGTAACTTGGTAAGGACGATTGCCGCGGCAGAATTCACAAGGAGTCGATGACTTACATCCTTATCAATTATCTCATGTGATTTCCTTAATTCTCTATGAAAAAGTTCAAATTTAGTGGACAGCTTTCATACGTACAAAATTTTATACAGCTGTATACTCACTATACTGCAGTTTTGCCTGTATTCTCAAAATTTGCCCGTGATTGATTAAAAACTTCATTTCCCGGCATTGTTTGTGCAACACCTGTCCATCGAACACCTAATCTGTCACTTCACGTCTTACGAAAATTGCAATTTAAGCACTCGGCATGTGTGCAAACTGTAGTCAGTATCATATTGCACATAATTTACGTAGTAACTCGTCGAAGTACGTTTCCGTTAGGCAAACTTTTAGCTTTGACCGAACTCTGCGGAAAACACTTCTATTATTTAACTACAAATGCCTTAAAAAACACCATGAATGCCTGAGGTTGACTGAAGCCTGTAAACTACCTATGGGTTCAGCATGCGCTGCCAGAACTACTTCCTGTGTGTGTTTGAATATTTACGGAAATTAACTCTCATGTGAACTGTGTATGTTTGGATAGTTCACCACAGACATTCGAAGGTCCTGCAGAAGCGTAGTTGAAGTATTTTCTATTCAGCATCTTCTTTCTTGTACATTTCCTCTTTCTCGGCAATTTGCTCCTGTAACTGAAAATAAAAAAAATGATAAAATAGGCAAGCAATTGTTTAATAAACTTTAGGTTAGTTTAATTAGTTAGTTTATCACGTTTATTCATTACTTGGTGAAATTATACTGATAAGCAAATATGTTTGTTTCTTATTCTTCTTCGTGCTTTTTAGTGATAAAAAAAATCTTCCGTGGCAACTGAGATCCATCGACACCTTCATCAACAAGAAGCATCCTCAAATATTTTAATCGAAATTGCATAGCGCAACAACTTTTCCCTTACTGTACCAATATATAGAAATTTATATACTCATATTGGATTTACTCAAGGATGCTAGTGCAAAAAACACAGTGTACTGGCACTGAACCGAAATAAATTACCTATTACTGAATTCAACGATTTTAATATTTTTTCAGATTATGATTAGAGATTGGGATTTTTTCAAAGATTTATTGTAAATGTTACGATGATTGGATTGAACGTTTCCGTGCCACCGCATTGCAACCTTCATAATCCTAATTTCTGATCAATGTTTAGTAATGCCGCAACTCAGTGACTTAGCTTTTCAGATGCCATGGTTGAATATATATACTAGTATGTATACTAGTATGTATACTAGTATGTATACTAGTATGAATATATACTAGTTCAACTATGGCAGATGCCCTACTAGGTAACTCACGTCACTGTAGTGGGTTCTGACGGCGATGTACGCGTTGGCGCAGCCTATGAGTAACACGAGCAGCAGCATCGACAAGAAGAAGCCCGTGCGGGGGTCAGATAAGTACAGAAACACGACGAGTATCGCAGAAGCGCCTGTCGTTAACATCATGAGAACCGTGCCAACCAAAAACGGTATCAACAGCGAAGGAAGTTCCTGTGACCAAATAAAGCGAAAGACAGTAAATAACATCAAATATTTAATTTTTAATTATACAACTGTTGCAAATATATCGTTAGAATCTTAGTAGGCTCTTATTTCAGTCATATGTTCGTTAAATTTTCTAAGCATATAACCTACTAAACTAAACGTTCGAGTGTAACGTCTGAATTACCTTGATTTCATCGAAACGTTGGAGCTGGAAATATGGTGTTGAAATTTAATGCTTTATAATAAGTGATTTCTACATTAATAGTTAGATTAAATTTACCCATCTGATTCCGAAATTCAAGATGAGTCCAAAAATGATGGCTAAGATGCAGACAGCGATGTCCAGAGCATCCAGCTTTGTGTCTGAAATTCATGGAACATATATAAATATATATATGGAAGATAATTGAACATATATGAATTGTAGAAGTAAAGCCTGAAGCGCCCAATGATAGTAAAAATTGTATACTTTTTCATTTGTGTGTCATTATTCATTATAAAATTTCCCTCTTTTGTCACCAAATTTGGAGGAAAAAATATTTAGTTAAGAATTTGATATTTTCAAATCAAATTAAAATTACTATTTTTAAACACTTTTTTCACCTTGCCTCAACAGTATAATTTTACTTGATTTTGAGGCAACATTTTTAGGCGTGCATGTATCAAAAAATTTACAATCTGAGTATTTTAAGTAGACGAATGGAATCAATTCATACAGAGGTATCAACTCATCGAAAAAATCAATTCATCGAAAAGAATCAATTCATCGAAAATAACTAATTCATCGAAAGGAATCAAATCATCAAAAGGAATTAAATCATCGAAAAGAACTAATTCATTGAAAGGAATCAACTCATAGCAAAAAAATCAACTTAAGCGAGCTGAGAATTTTTCATTTTACATCATTTTTATGTCGGAGAAAATCTTTTTCTCGGTGTTGGCTGTTTCCTAAAAAATCTCATAGTGAGAAATTAACTCGAATCTTGATGCCGACTCGCTTCCTTTCCATAATCATTTAGCGTCCGTAGTGCAAGAACGTGAGGCGCTTTAAAATTTTTTTTTTCAAGCATAAATCTCACTTATCGATTATAAAATTAGGCAGCGCTATGACCAGGTAGTCATATATATGTCGCCTATCAAAAATTTATTTTCGAATAATAAATTGCCGCCATGTGATACTTATGCAATGTGATTTTTGAACTCGCAAAAAACATGGTCACTAAAGGGAAAAAGCTTTGCCTTAAAGTCTAACCAGGACGATGACCATGGCCGTCAAGAATTGACAGCCGTAACATAATTAATGAATCTGAAATCGATTCAGTTTACACGATCTACATATTTAACGAGGAAAATAAAGTGATAACAAAATTGCCCGAAACTATCAACTCACCACCCAGGTCTCCCAAGAAGGGCCGTGAGACCAAGCGAGCTATGCCGGCAACCTGTCGGGGTTTTATTCATTGTTATATAATATACGATAATATAATAAAATAATAGGAATACCATTACAGGAATAAAATTCATTGTTGTTTCACTTGCCATGAGAATGTAAATTTCAGCTAATTGTGAACTTGTACCGATTCCAGAATAATTATCTGAAGTTTAGGACAAAAAAAGTAATCAAATTTAGTACAAAAACAATAATTAAATAAGAATTTAGTAGCGAAGAAATTTATAATTGTGAATTTTGTGGTAAAAAAAATGAAACGCAAACGTTTTGACGACAATCTCTACAATCAGCCATACCATCAAACAAAATAGCGGGTATAATTACTCGTTTTCATTGAATATATGATAATTTTTTATCAATCTTATTTATAATTAATTAACAATGTATCTAATCACGTGAGGTTAGCCTGTTTATAGCACTAATATATAGAGCAATAAGTTCATTGACAGTTCTGATGCCAAACTGATATTCAACTGATGCTCAACTGATTTGCAACAGATGCTCAAATGCTGCTCGCACCATTGAAAAAAATATAGGTAACTCGGTCCTCACTGCAGTGAGTGACAAAGAGCGCATTTTCTCGACGACGAAAACGTGAAGTCACGGACGGACAGACAGACAGACTGACAGACAGACGGACGGATGGACGGACATGCCAAGCACAATAGCGCCTTTTTATCATAAATGAGAAAATGCTCTAAAAATGACTCAAATGAGCTGACGAACTCACCACGAGCCCTGCAGCGAGCACCTCGCAACATCTGGACGTCTGGCAGCAGCAGGGACAGCCCATATTTTAAGTTTTTTTTACTTACGATTAATCCTTCAGAAGTGTTTCAAAATTCAGAAGCCATAAATAATTAATTCCTGAATCACTTTTTTGGAATAAATTACCCCTAATAATATTCTAATTTAAAATTTATTGACATATATAAACTTTTTAGAAAAGAGGGATTTTAAAAAATGCGATGATACATTTTAAGTTAAAGCAAATGCTTTTTGACAATGATTTTGAAACCCTTTAGTTCCTATATATGTATGTATATATGAAATAAATTATATTACTCAAGAATTAAAGCGTGTTGTCATCATTCATGACATGAATTGATTTATAAAAACAATTTTACATATTTACTAGACTCATTCTTTAATTATATACGCGTTTACGCACAATGCGTTATCGTGAGAACTTTTATCTCTGGAGAGAAAGAATTTAAACATGAACATAATATTCAGAGAGTCTAAATATTACATGAATAAGCTAAATATCGGATTCTACTTAATCAAAATTTTGAAATGAAATCATCTGGCATGAAAATTTAATATCAAAATTTGTTCAATTCTCATTTAGAAGGAAGTTTTACACTTTGTATTCTCCTACGGAGAACAGTATAACTGAACAAAGCTGTTTAAAATGCAAAAAGATCCTAACGTATGTTGTCCGAACTGAGTACTAAGTGAGGAAAGTGGTTGGGAAGTTGTTGTTGGGGGTTGGTTAGCATGGATACCAACCACTTCTAAAAGGTGTCGTCGCCACGCCTTGGAAACTCAAATAAACCAATAACGCTTTATTTACATCGATACTTTAATACCTCAAAACTATACCAGCTTCTAAAACCGAAATTAATAGACATTTTGGTAAAGAGATTTTCAGCAACTATATCGGGGTGGTGTGGATTCTGGATTATACCGATTTATATAAATATTTATGCATGCTTCGACAACATGAGAAGCAAGCAGTGTCCAAGAAAACTTGAAATTTGATTCCTGATACATATTAATTTTATTAAATAGTTGCTAAAGGATTTGGTGTCAATTAGACTAATTGGAGATAATCATTCTGCATCTGTCACGGTATAAGTCTTTCTCAGCGACATTTCATAGCAACTTTCTCATGCCGGCACTATTAGTTGTCTAATTTTCATGAAATAACACGCCGCCGGCATCAGGCCATCAGCTGATTAGCGTCTGAAATGAAATTGGAGAATATTGTGATGTAAGTGTAATAGGCGAAATTCAATAGCTACTTTCTGAAAATGTTCAGAATTCCAAGCCATTATTTTGAATTAAAGAGAGCTGAGACGTTTAAAAACCATTTAATACTGATCATAGGTCACAGGGTCAGAACTAAGGTTTTTATTTTTAAGAGTTCGTCGGTTTGAAAATTACATACATGATGACAATGAAGCTGTTAGCTATGAATTTATGATCGTGCAAGAAAGATGTGGTTCAGTTTTTTAGAAACTAGGCTAGATCGTTTCTATTGAAGGCTGTCAGTGCCTGCCACTCGCCAGGCTTGCGACTTGCGAGTTTAGTGCAGCAGTGCCACTGTGCCAACAAGGTTATTGGCATTGAAATTAATTGAATTGATTCTATACTGGTTAGACGAGGTTAGTAGTACTTACTACTTAATTAGTATGAAGTATGTCATATAATGTACACTTGTACTGTACTGTTCTATTGGTACTTGGTAAATAATGGTAATTAATTTATTAATATTGCCATTAGCTAATCTTAGTTCTGGACCCTGGCATCATTGAGTGATTATTATTCATTCAGCCATTCTAGATTCTAGAATGTAATAAGGGCATAAGGTAGCTGCATATGGAAATAGTAGAAATTTATTATTTTAGAATTTCCCATAGGGCATACGGCATAGTGCCATAGCACTTATGTTGCAGTGTTGCCTGGCCTGGCTTGTCACTGGCCTTTAAAATAAATAGAAATGATCTAATTATTTACTTTTCTCTTAATTTTCTAGCATGATTGAAAAAGCTTTTTAGTTACTATGTGTCAAATTAGTACTACAAGTGATGTGACCTATATTTTTTTGTGAAACTATATCAAAACTTCATAACATGATCCAAATACGTCCATAGCGCTTTTGTGAGTATCAAATTAAATAGTCTTTATTGACAAGTAGCAAGTCAAGTGCAAATATCTGCTTACTATACTAGAGAAATGGCCACCCATGAATGAGAGAAAAATGTCCATTAATTTTGACAATTTCACCTGTTTTAATAGCTCATGCCATGGGGCATGGGCCTATTTCTTCAGTGCCAACACTTCTATTCTATTCTATGAAAATAATAAGTGGAATGGCACATTTTTGCCTATGTTTCTATGAAAATCACCTGAAACTTTACTGTAGTGAGTGTCCACTTTATATAAGTTTTACTTGTCCTCCAAAAGTCTTTCATTTCACTGTTGAATATGTTTTTTGGTTGCAATATTTAAGCATTCTTAAAGTAAAAAAGGGTTAGTTAGTAAATTCTTCCAATGTGAACCTTCAAATTGTTAATTCATGTTGCAAAGTATATACCTATAAAATTTTTCTTCTTCTGCACAGATTTTAGTATAGAAGTAACAAAATTGCATCACCCTTTCTTTTCAATTGCATAGTTACCAAACATGGCTTTGAGGCTCCTATCTTGCAAATTGAGTAATATAAGCATATGCAGTTCATTGCAAATTTTAGGAAGAAGCCATGAATTTCTGAGAAATGTGCGACAGCTTCACTGTGTTCATAGGACTGACCGTGGACTGCTGCAGGTGCGCGGTGTTGATGCTAGCAGCTTCCTACAGGGACTCATAACTAATGACATGAACCACCTGAAGGAAGGTGCCTTGAGTATGTATGCCATGGTCCTCAATGCCCAAGGCAGAGTACTGCATGATGTTATCATTTACAACAATCAGGAGGAAGTGTCCCCCTTGGATGCAGTGGAGAATTATATCATCGAAATTGAACTTAAACATATTGACAGATTAGAAAGACATTTGAAAATGTACAGATTGCGGAAGAAAATTGACATAAGTGTTGTTGAAAATAAGAAGTGTTGGGTTTTATATGATCCAGAAATAGACTTTGGTTCTATGCGCCAGGTGGACTTGGAGTGTTTATACCTGAATCCCAAAGTGGACTCAAAGCATGCGTTAGAACTGACAACAAACCCTGACAATTCTATTATTGTTAGAGATCCGCGAATGCCTTATTTAGGACACAAACTTCTACTACCTGTGGGTTATGAGCCTCATGAATGTGTACAGGAATTGACAAACGGGACTGAGGATTCGTTCACGAGCTTCAGATATAAACTCGGTGTAGCTGAAGGCTCTCAAGAACTGCCTCTGGGTGACGTGATGCCTCTGGAAGCCAACGTAGATTTCCTGCATGGCATCAGCTTCCATAAGGGCTGCTATATCGGTCAAGAGTTGACAGCTCGCGTGTTCCATACCGGCGTTGTCAGGAAGCGCTACTTGCCTCTAGTGTTCTCCTCTGCACCGACTGACTTGATCCCTGCCGAGACTAGCATCGTCAACAGCAAGGGCAAGACCGTGGGGCGTATGCGCGCGCACTGTGGGTTGTATGGCGTAGCTCTACTGCGGGTTGCCGAGTGTCTTGCTGATGCAAGTAACCTGTTGGTGGCTGGGCTACCTGTCTCCACCTTTCGACCAGCCTGGTGGCCTATTGAAGCGCCAAAACAAACGTGACGACGCCCATTAGAGGGCTTGAGGTTCATGATAAATATGGTCATGTCTTGAATGACTTAATTGGAGTCATGGCTCAAATGTTTGTACAAGAAAATGTCAACTTTCGTAGTTTGTCACTGAATCATTTTTCCTGCTACTGGTTTACGATGACAATTTTCAATATTCTGAATGATAAACCACTGGAACTAACATATATAAAGGAAGAATCGATAATTTATGATGATACGTTAGTCTACTTTCCACCTAATCTCGTGTTTGTGTTCTAGTCGGCAATTTTAGTTTTTCTATTTTTAAGAATTTTTACTCGGGAGCCTCCAAACGTGTCTATGTTGCAAAAAGTTTAATAGTTGTTAAATACGCGTAGTAATTAACCTTTATGTACTTCATGTGTTGCAGATACGAACGTGGCGAACCATTCCCTGCTCATTTAGATCGTTCACAGAGATTTCGTACATTAAATATTATAAGTTGATTCCAGCAATTTTTTCTAAGGAGTCGAGTATTATTTACCAAATGTGTAAAATAAGCTATGTCGGCTTTGACTCAAGTAAACCCCGATGCAACCACCACCACCACTGAGGGCGGAGCCACCACGAATACCACCGCCAAGGACGCCGCAGAATCTGACGCAGGCACCTTCTCATGCAGCTGTTGTGGTCTTACTGAACGCTATGCCTATTTTGGTCGCAACCCTCGCTTCCTGAAGAACATTGTTTTTCTTGAAGACTGTTATGTCATCGAAGACCCGTTCAGTGGAGCACGAAATGACAGCTTCACTGTGACAGGTAGTCACTGTGTGGCGTGCTCGGCGCGTGTGTGTCAAAGCCCCGACTGCAGCGTGTTCTATTCCAAGCGCTTCTGCCTTAACTGTGCACGCAAAAATATCCATGAAATGCCGACTGAAATGAGGGTTAAAATAAATAAATAATCGTATACAAAATTCATAAATTGGTCTAGATTCAAGTGCTGATAGGAAGTGAGAGTGTAATGCGTGTTATTTCAAGAATGCTCATCTGTGCTGAATAATGAAAAATTATTTCTATTCCCTATTTATTTTAAGCTAATTCATCCGTGGAACAATGTGGAAGGGAAATAATTATTACAGTAAGAAAAAAGAATAGACTCGACACATAGAATTGTTAGTGAACTAATTTTTTTATTTTCCTCCAGTTCGTGCCAAAATTTTAATGAGAGTATTTTATGCCATTGACATGATGAGTCGAATTTCTTAAATTTAAAAATCTATATGTCCAGCATGTCAGTAAAACGATTGAAATTATTAAGTGTAATTATTAATAACAATGGTGTCTCACAGTCACAGAGAAGCACTTTCGTGGCATTCATTAAATTTGAATTGTATATTAGCGAAAAACAACGACCATTTAATCTATAAAAATACAATACAACGTAATACTAAGATTTCGTAGAGAAAATGTGGATCTCTTTGTATAGAGTCAAAGATCCTCCCACGATTGAGCCACGGAACATACACCATCTCAGAGATAGTTAAATAATAAACATCTGTAATATACGGATCACCGTGAATAAATGGACAACGGATATTGTCAATGAAATGCCCAGAGTGGAATGTCTGTTTCAGGTACACAAAAGAACCTAGATAAATGTAACAGTTAGGAGATAACCGTAGTGTGGAAATTAGCTCAAAAAAAATCCACAATCACTGCAAGAATTTTGAAAATCAATGTTATCGAAAGAATTCATGCAGAAGCCTCTAACAAATTTATCTCCTATCTGATATTTATCTCCTACGGTTAACCTCAATTGCACAATACAAGATTCCGGAACAAACATTCACCATAATTAGTGATATACAAAATAACGACTACAACTCCACACAATCACAAGTTTCTGAAACTTGGTCATCGGGACGGAAACATTAAATGCCACACGAAATACTAGCACGATCTGTGAATATTTAGATAAAAGTAGCCATAACACACACACACGCAAAATATATTAATACTATATCAAAAGGCTGGAAAGCACTTAACTACTTTCCACAAACCATGATCAGTCCGGGACGTCACTTAATTTACATCATCATTCCTGACTTAATGCCTTTCAGAAAGATTGTTGACATTTAAATTCGTTCTGTACGATTGACTTATTATTCTTTAATCTTTACTCAATGCTGATACGAGTGTGAAAATATTTTTATGTGTGCAGAAACCTCACTATTGCTATCACACTTACATACTTAACAAACTGATCACTAGATTTTTTCTCAAAATCATTTGCCATTGCGAAAAGTTACTAATAAAAAATCTCGTCAAAAAGAAGCATAAAATTATCATAAACTGATGAACAACAAGATCTCCAACCATTATTATTAGAGGCAGAACTGCAAAATTACCGCAGTAAATGCAGACCAGTACTCTGTGAATCTGGCTTGGATGAGAGAAATCAGTATTAAATGACTGCGGCTTGGATGAGATAAACAAAGCAGTGTTAATGACTGGTACTTGGATGAGCGCACAGCACTAAATGACTGCGGCTTGGAACAGAAAGCGAAAGCCGAACTAAATGACTGCAGCAACAACGAGATGTATCGGCACAGAACGACTGCGACGTGGATGCGACAGAAATCAAAAGTAAATATCTGCAACTTGCTTGAGTGACGGAACGGCGACTTTTACAGCCGAGAGCTTCTCTATTGGTTATTTCCTTCTAAATATTTGATGGCCTTAGGGACTTAGGAAAGTAGACACAAAGACGCAGGGGTCGATGTTGAGCGTCGCGTGCCACCAGCGGTCAGGGAAGTACACCAGCTGAACAAAAAAAAATGTCGTTATTCAATAGCAATCGCTTCATTATTATACACGTTTTATACACGGTTACGTATACAAGGCCGTAGACAATGAAAATGCTGTAATGCTAAAAAAATTATTAGTTTTAGATACAATTATAAAAAATATATACCATGATAGAAAAAAATACGATCTCTTGAGAATCCACGATTAGAATATCTATTGAACACCTTGCAAGCCTGTTATCATCTTCAACTGCAATCAGAAGATTTAATTCGTTCATTAAATAATAGGCATCTTACAGAAAGCAGTTAACCCTCTACCGCCGTATGTCACTCTCCGGGAACATAACTTTCAACTTAATTATACATAAACTATTGAGTGTAGCAACCTGAATACGTTGGTACGCAACAGAGAACATGTTAAAGTTATCGTACGTGGCGGCAACCATCAATGCAAGTCATAATGCGCTCACTAGAACGTATCCTTTTTGGGAAGTAGGCTTGTGACAATATTGCTCCGGTTACTCTTGTCAGGCGGTAGAGGGTTAAGAACGAAAACACGCAGCCAACTTTGTTTTGGTTGACGTTGAGGCCAACTTGGTCTATCAATAGACATTGAGGCTAAACTTGGCCCCGTTTGAGTGTCAATAAATACATGAAGCCAGAACTAACCTCGCCAGGGTTGAGCGTGCACTCAAGCATGCTCTCTAGGGGAGGCCCTTTGGGGTAGTCCTCCAGCAGCCACTGCAGCGTCGTCCTATTTGGGTTGAAGATGGGTGCTGCATCGGGCGGTGCGAGGAACCATCGCTTGCGACCCCAGATCGTCTCCGCAAAACCTGTTTTTAATTTCAATTATAAATGTTCATGGATACAAAACCATTCTTAACCCTTCTTGAACTGTATAATTACCGTATACAAAGTCATAATCTTACCGAGTTTACATACAACTGTACTTTTGCAGTGTGACCAGGTTTAATAAACGTTCTTATATGTAATCAAGTTGAACAATATATGTCCCTGACTCCCTGCATCCCAAACTGTTTATAATTAACAAACTGCTCTGTATGGATTCAAAATTTAAATGATCCTGCACCCGAAAGTTTTTAAAAAAACGTCATTCTTCGTATTTAGCTTGAGATATAAATGTTTCTACGTCCAATCCTATTTCTAATAAACGTTATCGTTACCTTGCTATCTTTAGGTTCAACAATGTTGATGGAGTCAACCAACTTTAAGTTCAACTACGTTTGTGGAGGTAGAGAACATATGTCCCCAAGTTTGCACTCGGTCGTACCCGGTCCATGGAAGTGGAAGGGCACTCCAGAGCCCGGCCCCGCGACACCAAAGCTCAGCATTGGGGAGTGGCCAGGCAGGGAGTAGGGCGGGATGTTGTAGTCCTCGAGGAGCGAGAGCCATTGGGGATGTGAGTGATCACCGAACAGGTAGAACGTTTCTGTTCACACAAAATAACGCAGAAATAACTTAGCAACTCAAAAAAGTGAACGGAAATAAATATCCGTGAAAAGGTAAGGTAATGTCTCAAATGGCCGATGGATGAAAATGATAGTATAAAAAAGCCACTTATACGTTTAGATCGTTTTTAATAGGGAAACGCGCTATCCAATGTACAGATCATGATTCCTCCAGTACATTATCCAGATTTTTACAGCACCGAATAACTGTATAATGAAGGATTCATGGATTCTAACTAAATTTGCCAAGGAACGAGCACTTATGTGTTATAAAATATAAATTTAGGATTAATACTGCAAACTAATTTTAAAAATCAACGAATCACTGATGAGTTGAAGGCTGAGTCGGTACCGTTAGCTAGTGTCTGCAGAGACTGGGGCTTCATATGCTGGTGGCAGTAGGTGCTGAATGTGACGTCACGCTTGTCGTAGCTGTAGGTGTTGGCGGAGCTCAAACGAACCTTGCTCTCCCCCAGCCATGACAACAGAGACGACCGTCTTGTCAGAGCGCGGAAATCCTGCACAATCGAAAATGCCCCGTGAAAAATGCAAATTAACTGTCATGCTGCGGAATCGTTTTCTTAAACTGAATCGGAACATCAAAAAGAAATCTCTTGTAAAAAATGGTGAGATAAGAAAACAAATTTTGAAAATTGTATGTGTAGCACCACCGCACCCAATCGTTAAGAACGTTTCGGTATTGTTCAAATTTTTTCAAGAAAATTAAAAGTTGTCTCGATTTGTTGCTATTCGGAACGAAGGTTTTACGCTATTCTTGTCTCCAATACAAAATGTAGAGATGTAATGTTTAAATGTCGACACTTCCGACTCGTTTTACATCATTTTACTTGATATATTTAATTTATACTGCACGTACTGAACAATTTACCCTCATGATTGAAATACTCTCACTGCTAGAATAATGATTAAGCAGCTCGTCAAATGCTTCACTCGTACGGCTCATGGGTTCAGTAACTTCAGGGAACTCACTTTATTATCAGAAGCCCCAACGATTATCACAGGCGCATTGTAAGCGTATCTGTAATTACAAATAATTAATTAATTAACAAATATCGTAAAAGACAACAAATTAATACAGTTCAATACCAACTTGAATGCTCTTTCGAGGAGTTGGAGGATACGTACGTAATAAAGACTAACGCTCCAGAAATGAGCATACCAAGTGAATCAAACCCCTTAATAGTAGTACTTCAATATGGCGTCAAGCAAAATGAAATAGAATCACAAACAATGTTACACTAAATTGCTCTCTAACTTCATGTGAAGTTATAATATCATTCACTCGCATTTCATCAACAAGCTAGTAGCAATCTATGGAAAGTTTTTCTCCAGAAATTTTCTCTTAACGAATTGTTGCATATAATCTAAGCCAACATTTTTATCTGTAAATAGCATTCAACTGAACTTTGGACACCCCTCCCTCAAAAAAATACATAATAAGACTGAAAATGATTAGATTTTAATACAATAATTAAATATTATCAATTCAAGCAGGAATTTAGAACGCACGTCTCCAGGAACTGCTGCTGGGTGAGGTCCCTGGCATGACGAACGTCGACGGTGCAGGGGCCCGGGGCGGCCAGTCTCAGTGAGCTGTCGTCTGCCAGGACATCCCTGCAGGGCACGAGTGAGGAGTGAACACTTGTTATTATTATTATTGTACGAAGCGTTTATCGTTATTATTATCGGCGTGTGTGCACACGCACCCTGACCTCATACTGCCTGCGCTGTCCGACACCCAGGTGGTAGTATAGTATTGTATAGTATAGCATTGTATGGTATAGTGTTGCATAGTATGGTATTCTTATTATTTTCTGTCCGGTATTTATCATGGCGTCTGGTTCAAGCGAACTTCGAGGGCACGTGACATAAAAGATTACCTAATAGCAAGCGAAAAAATAAATTGATACAAGAAAGGATGGGAACGGATAAAAAAAGTACATGGTACAAATGTACAGAGACTAGATACGATTGTAACGGTGCATTCATCTACTCTCATAGCAAGGCTATGGTGGAACCATTCAAGGGGGTGTTGAAATCTACCTTACCTGTATTTCAAAAACGATCTTAAAGTCGATAGGAATATCAATAAATACCTATGCAAATATATTCACGTAATTAGTGAGGATTTAGAGATGCTATCAAGGTCATTTGATTTTCACTATCAAGTTCCGTAGCTATAAAAACTCTTACAAATAAAATTTTGTGATTCGTGGCTTTAACTTTATAAGCTGTTAGCCAGTGATTGGAAGACGAAGTTACGAACTATTGTTGATAGTACGGGCCCGGCCCCCAGTAGAATTATAACTTTAAAAATATTTGGATAAGCATGAGGCTCAGTTCTCACCAGCCACCATCGTCCGAGTCAGGCAAGATGAAGTCAAGAAATCTGGTGACTGGAGGTTGCGGCGGTGGTTTTCTATTGTGGTGATGCAACGTCCCGAGTGTGTGACCAACCAACAGCGAAGTTACAATTAAATAAATAATAGAGATCATCTTCGCCCTTTTTGGGAGAGGACAGATTACAGCATAACGGCTCAATTGTACGGTACTGGCCTATCTGGAAGGTAAAACCATTTACTCAATTATGTGCTACGTATTTTTATAATATGCTTCACAGGCAATAGCTTTTTGACTTCAAAATACTATCGTCATGGAACAAACTTCCTAAACATGGCCAAGCCAAAACAGAAAACGTACTAATGATTGGAGCTGGAGGACTTATTCAAATATTCCACAATTCATCACTCTGAAATAAGAAATGTAATATGCGGTATTTACATTAAAAGAAGCTACTCGGGAAATGCCCGGGGTTTGTAGCAACTCCCCCAAGATGTTGGAATGTCGCCAACATCCCCCTGGGGGCATAAAGAAGAAAAGTATTGCATCTGCCTCATTAGGACGGTCAGATGTTAGTTCATTCATATGGACGTAAGTTCACAGCTAGTAATAAATTTTTTCGGGAAGGACACATAAACAAAATTTTGTAATTCCCTATTGTACTTTCAAACTCTAAATAAGCTCTTATCGGCGATTTCTCTTCATTTTCTTTAGCAACTGCTTTTTCTTCTTCATTCCAGGGACATTGTCCAGCTGTTTCTTAAGGGCCTTCATTTTGTCCTTGCTAACTCTGATTTTGTTCTTAGTAAGGCTATACTTCATCTCCGAGTCTCTCGACAGCCTCACAGTTCCATCGGGGTTATACACAACACCTTCAGAAAGCACCCAATTCTTATTCTTGTCGCTGGCAATGACGGTCTTCTTCTTAGCCTTTCGCTTGAGTTCCTTACGAGCTTTGAGGTCAGAGTCGTGGTCCCTGATGATCCTCTTGAAACTTGTTTTGATGACCGGGGCGTTGAAGGGCAGTGGCTGAGTTTTCTTCAGCTCCTTGGCTTTGAGTTGCAGTTCATACCGAGGCGTCTCTTTGACCAGCTTATAGTAGGGAGGGATGGCGAAACAGAAGCCCTCAGCCACCTATCATAAAAATTATTTCAATCATTAGTTTATGATTGTTAACAAATGGCTACATATTGTAAAAAATTACACCTACATGGAGCGTCAATTGCAACATCCTAATGCAAAAAAATAATGTAGGTATTTTAGAATTTCACCGGAAGAATCGAAGTAACCATATAAACATTAATACTAAGTTAAAAATTAGAATCATGAATGAAGATGCTAGGATTAAATGAAAACAGTGTGAAAAGTTGTGAAATAAAGTCTGAATTTGAAATGTGTAGGTTGTCCTTTATATTACAAATCTTCAAGTCGTTTTGCTCACTTCTTTCAGCAAAATATCCTTCATATTGAAGAACTCTTGTAGTTGGTGATCACGAATCGAATCCAAGTATGCTTTGTATGCTGCTTTACTGTTCAGGTTCATGCTGTGGAAGGTCTTATACCAGTTCTGCAGCTGTAATGAAGACAATTATCAATTAAGTTATAAAGGAAAAGTAATCTAGTAAAAGAATTACTCGAAGTCCCATAATATTTCATCCAAATGCTACTTATAGTTAAATTTAAAAGTTATACTGCAGGTCACAAATAATAAATCAATCAGTGGAAATCAACCTAACACATTGACTGCAGCATGACCCACCAGTGGGCTGCAGGGTCTTTTTTTTCCGGACAAAAATTCCGTGACTTAGTTTGTCTCAATTGTGTTGGCTGGCAGAAATTTATGGTGGCGGTATGTACTTATTAAATTTTATAAAGTACAAGAAAAAGAATCATTTAATTTTTGCAGCGGAAACTACAAATTTACTAGTAAATATTGAATTTAAGGCCATTTTTATCAGCAGACTTGGCCGTTTTTAGGTCATGTGGCAACCCCGGTCGGTCATACCGCACTCAACGTGTTAATTCAGGCAAAAGTGTACATCATTTCAGGCCTTTTAGGTTCAAATATATACTAGTAGAAAGAATTTATATACTCACAATCAGATGTACAAAGCAAAAGGAAGAATTCAGGAATAAAAGATTTACCTCAATAGTTGGAAGTTTTGGGACATGATCCCATGGGATGAATCGCTCCTCAAACTTGAGCCCAGCTTCATCCTTGAGGTGGCCAATAAAGCCAACTTCAGTCGGACGCAGAAACATCAGGTAGGTAGAACAGTACGTGGCCAGCTGGGTGACTATTCTGGAAATACAAGGGAAAATGAATACAAAATGTGAAGGAATACAAATTTCATCCCTATTCTAAGAAACATATGATAGAATATTTCTTATCAAATAAAAGAGAAGTGGTGCAGTGATGAGTGGAATCAATAAATTGATTTGCAAATCAAAGGGATCCCGGAATCCCGACTAATTATGGTTTCTTAAAGTTTCTTATACATGATACAGTAAGGAGAACTTTCAATTGACACAAGAAAGGCTGAAAAGGTACAACTTTATACAACTTAGAAATAATTCAGTAATTTTTATATTTATGTTGTTATAACATTCAAAGCATCTAGTGGTTTATCTAAATCAACAAAAAAAGTTTTCAAAAGGCCATGAAAATTGTTAAAAACCTTCTAACCACCAATTTAAATTTATTGAAAATGAATCAAGTAAAAAATTATTTATCCCAAATAACAAAATATTGAATAATAAATAACTCACTCAACAGAGGAAGGAGGATCATACTGGATGATGATATTAGCTCTGAGGTCAGGAAGACACTGAGCTGTCTGGGGGGTGGTGGCCAGCATGCCAGTTTCAGCGTCACAGAAAAATGTGTAGTCGTCTAGGCCGCCTTTGGCAGTTAATTGGGGTTTCTGATAAAAATGCAATAGCGTTTAAATTTATATCAGCAAATATATTAATTATCTCAATCGGTTTTATTATTTATTATAGGTATGTCTTTTTTAATATTACTATATTACTAATTTCTTTTCACTAATATACTAATAATAATAAAAAAATAACAATAAATTCTGATTAAGGTATTAACACAAGAGTGTGATAACAGCAAGTAATAGAAACAAACAAAAAAAAAATAAATTAAACAAATGATGAATGAGTTTTTCAGAAAGTTGTTTAATATAAATTTTTCAAGAATAATCAGAAACAACATACAATGGAACTTTACTACTTGAAAGAATAAGGACCATCTGGATTGACTTGAGTTTTCATATTAATATCTAAGGTTGAAAGAAAATCTAAAAGGATAATCCCATACCTATTTATGGTCTTTAACCAGTCATACATGGAAAATTCATAACTATAAAAAAAAGGTGGTGTACAAGTTTTAAAATTCAACCATTTTACAAAAAAATGTGAGGAATTAAATTACTTCAATTCTGAATTCTAAAAACTTGGATACAGAAAAAATTAATTTGTTAAAACTCACCAACAATGGCATAACTGGGAGCCCTTTGAGTCTAGAGAAAAGCTCAACAAAGAACTTTGTACAGTTGTCATGGTGAAATAAAATGATGACCTTTTTGCTCCAGGATTTTTCTTTTGCGTCCCAATATCTTGACACTAGTTCAGTGAGCAGAGCCACCCGCTGATCAACAGGACATACAGCATAGCCTGGAAACAGATGTTAATGAATGATGCATCCTTAATGTGTCGGAATATACCGCGTTTACCCTAGAAGTTTTTTAATTCCAAGTGGAATAATCTTTTAAACCACCAAGCTGTAAAAATTTGCTAAAATATTTTAGATTGATTTTGGTCTGCCATGCACTTTACAATTTTTTCTTTGAAACTTGAAAATTCTGCGACAACAACCATAAATGAGATAAGATAAGAATGCCTGCGCTTGCAATAAATTTAACCCAATTTTATGGTCCTTGGCTAATTTCTTTCTGAAAACTGAGATTAACATTACCTACATTTTTATCTGTAAACTTCAAAATTTTCATAAAAATTGTTTTACTGGATAACTATAGAAGATTCTTCCCAATATTGTTGACAGCCATAATATAAAAACTAAACTAAGAAATGAAGCAGAAAACAGTCAAGCTCAAGTTAAAAATTAGAATTTTTAAAAAATTAAATTTAGGGTAAACGCGGTATATTCCGACATCGTAGGTAATTCCGTCACTTCTCAAGTTTTTCCTTTGTATTAAGCTTTGTTTTAGTTCCATGTGTTCATTGATGGTTGAAATGGTGACGTCATACATTTGCGTGTCGAAATACTGCAAAAACACTAGGTCTTGGCCATCTAGTGGGAAAATATTGAGATCCAAAGAGAGACAATGCATGCCACGTGGTGAGATCATCGAAAAATGTGTCAAATTTGACAGTTGACATGGCTCTACCAAATACTGAATAAAATTAAAACGTAATTAAGTAGTGTTCAATATTCGTTAGTGTTCTAATTCAAAGCCGTGTTGTATCCCAATACAGCTCACACAGCAAACGGAATTCGAACTCGTGGATGTCGGCAATACGGATCAGTTAAATTTGAAGCGCTGACGCAATACGACTCACCACGTGTCGGATGTTGCCACACAAAGTGACAGAATATAGGGATTTGGTAGGTTTCCATTCTAAAGGCTTTTTAATAAATATGGCAACATTTTGTGACGTTTCATTGTTGCTGACGCGTAGTGAAGTGTTTTGAGAGTCATGTGAAGGCAACAGAACTTACGTAACGCATACGGTTTTTTTTTTAGAGTTTTTCATTTCTCGATGCGTCCTTAAAGTGTCGGAATATACCGCATTTACCCTAAATTAAAATTGAATTAAATTAAATTAAATTTCACCCATTCCAACATTTCCCTAACCTTTTCAGTAAAAAATGAGAAAAACAGTAAATTTTAACCAACCATTTCTGAAATTCACTTTTGAAACAATTATTTTTTACCTGCAATTTCAGTGATCTTCTGCCTGAGGTTCAATAATAATAATAATAATACATTACATAAATATAAAATACACAAACTTGAGCACTGTCTCAGTAGTAGTGAAGAATGAAGATGCTATGGACTAAAAACGCTATATAGCTATCGAGGAAGCCTACACATTAAATTTGAATTTTATTTCCTCCCTCAGTAATTTCTAAAGCAAAATGACCAAAAGGTTAACTAACAAGACCTTTATTTTTAATACTCACCAAAACAAATACTATCCATCATATGAACAACGAAATATACCACGAAACACAAAAGAATAATTGTTCTATGCTTTGGCTATGCAAGATTTCAATTTTTTTCTAGATGATCACACAAACCACGCGACAACCCTCACGCCGCTAACAATTTTTAGCAAAAACATGTCTAAAAATCGGATCCGGAAAAACGGAAAGCATACATCAAATTTAGCCATGGTTGAAATAATATTTCAACCATGAAATTTAGCCTCCTTAGCAATGGAGAACTATCATTTTTTAAGATGTGGCTATGTATCATTGATTATTATATGTGAACATGACAATTTTTTTCTGGATTTTGATTTAGGGCTGATTTCACTCGCGCACAAGCGAATAAAATTTATACTTTCGACATGCTGGTCCTTATATTCACTAATTTCATGTAGAATATATTAAATATACACGATCACACGGAAAACGCGGAAATGATATTAGCTAAAAAACGACTTGGATTTTATCGGATCAGACGTTTTTGGTTTCAAGATATATGAGTCCTGAATGACCATGAGGTCGATTGTATCTTTTTTTGATTGATGTGCGTGTGTTTTTTGATATGTCCTCATTTTCTAATTTCTTGCTGATCCGGTCTTGCATTTAATTTATTAAGTCATTTAAAAGCATGCAAATGCAACAACCGTATTCTGATTAATTGTTAAAATTGACGTCACTGTTTGCAATAACCGGCCAGCAATAAAATGTCATTCAACAGCATAACACACAATCTAAATAAATGTACATATCTATTGTCTATTAATGCGATGTACAAAGTTATTTAGAATACAAATCCGTCAAGTAGGGTTCGAGACTCGCAACTACTTGTTAAAATCCTAATCATGATCTGGGAAGTTGACTGGGTAGCTAAGAACACCATAACATGGGCTTATCAATGCTGTCATCATTGTATTATTATAACTTTCTTGAAGTCTTGGTAGAAGTTTACTGGAAATAGTTTCATCTGCACTTAATTCCCCAATCAAATCACAAACAATTTTTCCATTACACTAGGGAAGAGGAATGATCATCATTCCCCTTTTTCATTCGTAGTGATAAGGTTGGGTAATCTTTCTAGCATTCGTATATTTAGGCGAGGTATTTATTAAATTTAAGTGACAAATATGTTTTTTTACTTAGATTTTTGACTGAATGAACGAAGTATCACATTGGCACCGCCTTCGTTTCTCCGCGCAATTCCATATTGATGCGAGGAAGATATTCAATAAAACTAAGATGTATTTGAGTAGTTGATGTAATTGAGTAAAAGGAACATATTTTATGAAATGCAATGCAAGCAAACGTGCAGAGCACAGCCATGCTAACGACAGGAAAAATGCTTTTATTAGTATAATAGTTTCAATTTGTCCATGCTTTTTTCATTCAAATGATTAATTCAACCGCAATTGAAAAAATAACAAAGGGGGACCATTCAAGTTTTCACCTCCATGAATAATGTCCCGAAGAAAATCCCAGAATTATCGACAGTGGCTAATGATATTTATGATAACTTCTCTCATGTACACTTATTCTTAATTTTGAAGCATTTTTAAACAGTGTTGAGTTGTAAGCAAATACAATTACCTCTATCTAAGATCTTCAACATGAAGAACCATTTACTGCCTTAAAAGATTTAGTAAAGGAATGCTGGCTAAAGTTGCAGTCTTTTGTCACATAACATTTTTAAATAGAGGCTGCCTACGGTGCAAATGCAATGAGTGAATGGCATAGTAGTACAAAATGCTTAAAACCTACAGTTCATAATATCCTATTCAAATTCATATGGCTGTGCAATTTAATGAAATAACAACAAATCAAGGTTTATGAAAGGCTTGTCTTGTCGACCTTCATTTTAATCTACCTCATAAACTCACAGTCTACTTCTTATTATTGCGCTCGGCAATTGTGGATAACTTGTGAACACTTGCTGGCTATCAGGTACATCATTCTTAGTCTGCCACACTCAATTCTGCCAAGCTATAATAAATGATATTTGATTAATGCGACCGGTAATATAATTGAATACTGCATTACTCGTACATCATAGGACATATTTGCTCAAAAAATTCAAGCCTAGAGGCCAAATGGCATAAAATTAGAGTAAATAATCAAGAAATTGCTTGTCACCTACTATGGATAAGAATTTATTACGAAATGCTGACTATATAATAGCATTTCATGGATTAAGGAACGCTAATTATGGCAACGCTTGGAATGTCGTGCAAATGTTTGAGATTATTGTTATACTTGAGGTATTGTATTAGATAGGATAACAACTGCTCTGGCTTAATATATAGGTCCCGATAATTAGGATTTAAATTATAAATAAAGATATATCACAAAATCAAGCAAAGTATCACAAAGCTAATACACTAGCGATTTCTACCACCACATTATCGCTCAGACTTTAACTTCCATCTGAGCACAAAATATCCTATGAGTCTTAAAAGTACAAAGAACATAAGAAGTATGAGGAAATCCATCCAGAAGTGGGCGCCCTCTATGTCCATCTGCTGCAGGAATTTCTTAGGAGACTTGAAGTGGCAGTACGCCTCGGAACACTTGAGTGGCTGGCGGTCAAACCCATAGATGGCCAGCAGCGTGCCTTCAAACCCGTATCTGCAGGACGGAGGACAGTTAATGGCAGAACTGGAGGACTGTAGAACCTGGAGGATGGAGGACAGTCAATGGCAGGACTGAAGGACTGTAGTACCTGCAGGACGGAGGACAGTTAATGGCAGGACTGAAGGACTGTAGCACCTGGAGGATGGAGGACAGTTAATGGCAGGACTGAAGGACTGTAGTACCTGGAGGACGGAGGACAGTTAATGGCAGGACTGAAGGACTGAATGTTTACCTGACGTAGGACACGTAGGAGATCCAGCGTAGGTATATGGGGATGGTGGAGAAGGTGACGAAGAAGCCTGAGAAGAGCAGCACCGGGATGGACGTAATGGGCCCCAGAAACACGGCTCCCTTTGTACCAAAAATGCACAGTTTCATTTCGGAGAAAATTAAGTTTCAGGAACAAAATCAGATTACATTTTTGCTTCATTTAGAATTCATTGTCTACAGAAATATCAGGATCCGAGCAAATATCCTCGAAGTCAAAGAAAAATTGAAGTAAAGTGCATCCAATTGATGTTAATCCACTGAATTATCAAACAGTTTGATACTGAAGTTGACGCTTTCAATTTGTTCCATGTAAGTTCATTATCGGATCTGTACTTAGCAAAAAACATATCCTCCCAATTAGCTATCCTGTTCTTATCCTCTGTCACTTTTGCGTTTGTACATAAAGTTAATATCGATTTAATGGTTTGCAACTCTATGCCTTTAGAGTTCGTATACATCGTAATATTGTTGATATCGGTTGGTAAACGTATAATCACCTCATCGTAATATAAGCACAGTATCTAATATCGATGATAATCGTTTGCATCTTTTTGCCTTTTGAGTTCGTATACATTGTAATATTGTTGATATCGTTTGGTAAACGTATCATCATATCATCGTAACATTAGCACACTATCTAATATCAATGATAATCGTTTGCATCTCTGTGCTTTTTGAGTTCGTATATGTCGTAATAATATTGATATCGGTTGGTAAACGTATCATCATAACACAAGCACCGTATCATCACCTGGATATTGAGAGCAGCTCCGATAGCCAGGCCCAGGCTCTGGGCGACCAGGGAAGTCATGATGCACATACAAGTGAACATCAGGAACCGTTCAGGCTCCAGCGGCTGTGCCGTCATGAAGTACACGAGTACAACGTACAGCAGCGGGTATATCACCTGTACACAGCACACCTCTCATTAGTACAACGTACAGCAGCGGGTATATCACCTGTACACAGCACACCTCTCATTAGTACAACGTACAGCAGCGGGTATATCACCTGTACACAGCAACCTCTCATTAGTACAACGTACAGCAGCGGGTATATCACCTGTACACAGCACACCTCTCAACAGTATACGTCATTCCTCTCAATGTTCTCCTGTTGCGATGAATATACTTCAGGAGTTTTATTCGAGATTATGATTAAAGTTACACAAGGCCGATATGCTCAGCAGGAGATGCTCTCTCCTCACATTCTAAGGGCTCCTTTGCCAATAATAGTTACCAGTTCGTAAGTCAGGTACCTAACCCCTGACGGCTTTGCAAACTAAACCCACCAATCACAGACGATAAATTGTTCACTATGTGCTCTAGAGCGACTAAATCCGGTCAAATGACACGATTTTAGATCTTCTGTGAACAAGGAACGAAAAGGAAAAGAATCGGTGACAGGCCACATCAGGCCTACACTTCAGCGCCGTGATCACTATGTTATGTCACTATGTGAAGCCGTCACTAAGTCATTATAGAGCACTAAGTAACTAAGGGAAGATGTCTAGACATGCTGACCTGGAAGGGCATGTCTGCCATGGTCTTGGCGAGGTAGTAGCTCTTGAGGGAGTACCAGTAGTTCAAATGTTCTCTCTTGAAGACGTTCATCTCCAGCGGAACTGCAAGATCAGCTTCATTAGCAGTCATAGTTAGGTAGTGGTAAATTTTTAAAGTGGTTTGAATTATGGAGAGGTCTTGCTCAGTAACACTTATCGATCATTATAAAAGAAGGTAAGGGCGTAGTTTGGTATAAAGATACTCATTTATATTCGAGAATAATTTTTGTTGATTAAATAATTAGAGTAGAACTCTCACTTACTAATTAACGTACATATCATCTTCGTTTAAAGGTAATCAGTGATTTTCAATGTGAATATCAACGGAAGATCTCATTTGCAATTTGGTTATCTGGCCACGTTTTCCCAGCTTAGTGTTTCCAACACTAAAAATCATATTTCAATTCATGGCAATATCCGAAGAGATAAGGATATTGTATTGTAGATAATGACCCGAAAAGTTTCTTGACGGTGCCAGGTTGTGAACACACACTCAGAATAATAAGTGAAACGTTGTCCAAATAACGATACACATTTTACCCTTTTATGGCTCATCTTGACCCAGTTCTCCCCAGCAAGAAGTCAAATCAGGGCTACGTGCAGAGAGTGTATCACAATATCGACAATTTGACCCATACATTTTCTGAGCGCAGCAACGAAAATAACAAAATATATACAAATAATAATAGTTATATTATATTATAATATAGCATAATATAATATAATATAATATAATATAATATAATATAATATAATATAATATTATACCATATAATAAATTATATTATGTAATATTAATAGTGTACAATGTATAAATATCGAGTCTAACTCACAAGTGAGGATCGTAGGCATCATGGCGGTGAACATAAGGAAGAGCATACAGAAGAAGAGACAGCCAGAGTTGCTGAAGACTTGGCTGGCCTCGCTGCCGATGTTGTAGTACAGCATGCCGATGAGGAGCCCGATCAGCAGGTGAGAGCACAACCGCATCTTCGTCAGCATCTGGGGCGGGGCAAATTGAAATGAAAAGTCGCGTTAGAATACGTGGGCAATGCACATATAGAATACGCGTGAAAAGCACATATAGAATACGCGTGAAAAGCACATATAGAATACGCGTGAAAAGCACATATAGAATACGCGTGAAAAGCACATATAGAATACGCGTGAAAAGCACATATAGAATACGCGTGAAAAGCACATATAGAATACGCGTGAAAGGCACATGTAGAATAGGCATGAAAAGCACATTGAAGTGAGGTCTTGTAGATGCAAAAATGAACGTTGAAACGCTTATAGCAACTTTTGTAGAATCACGCGAGAAATTTTTTAACAGTAAGGTTTAATTTACAAGGATATTTTTCGAAATTTCTCATACCAATGCACCAAGCAAAAATCTAGATCGATTAAATAATTTTAATCGGACCGCAAGATAAAAATATTATCGTAAAATCACATAGAGATTATGAAATTGTACTTAAAAGTGATAAACAACTTTATTGAAGAATCTTAAATTGTACAAAAGTAAATTACTGGGACAGTTCGGTTAGAACTCGATTAAGTACACGTTGCAGCCAATGTACACGCAGTGACTGATTACACGTCCATGATTGGAGGGTTCATCTTGAAAATCCGTCACAAAGCTAAGAACTTGACACTTTTTAGCGCATTTTCTCATTTATGGAAAAAAGACGCTATTGTGCTCGTCATGTCCGTCTGTCTGTCCGTCTGTTGGTGACTTCACAAGAAAATGCGCTCTCTGTCACTCACTGCACTGAGTACTGAGTTATATTTTTTTGATAGTTACGACGATAACAAAATCCAACTCCTACTCACCGTATTCTGAAAATGGAAACCCAGACACAATAAAAAATCTAATCACAACTGAAACTCACCCCATCCCTGATTATAGAGAGGAAGGTCCTCTTGAAGAGGATGACGAACTGCTTCCACCCCGACGTGGGGAACGAGCTGGGGATGTCATCAACGCTCTCGTCGTCGGACGATGCCAGCAGGGAATGCTGGGCGGCCGGCAGGGAAATTTTGGTCTCCCCAGTCGAGGAATTGTAGAGGCTGCTGGGGACCGAGCCTGGGCCCTGACTGCAGGACTCGGTCTCCCCAGGGTACTCTGCAGTGGACCGGTGCATGATTTATTTTAAATGATTTAAAATACATTTTTAAATCATTTAAATGATTTAAATTGATTTAAATGATTTAAATTATTTATTTTAAATTATTTATAAATTATTTTTAACTTTTTTAATTATTTATTTAAAAATGGTTTATTAAAGTTACTTATGAAAGCTGTTCTTCACATTCGAAGGAGTTAATTTCAAGGAAGTGTAATTCCGTACAATAATTATTAATTAATCTAAAAAAATATTAGCCAAGCTAATTCGAAAGTGTTCTTCAAATTCAAACGTGTTAGTCAGATTCAAAAGCGTTCGTTCCAAGAAGTGCGATTTCGTATAACAAGTAAATGATACAAAAATACACGAATGAAGTTTATTGAAAACTGTTCTTTGCATTCAAACGCCTTATCGTAATTATAAAATGTGCTACCCATAAAATAAAACATTATTTGAACCATAAGTTGCAATTTATTAATTTTGTAGTCTAATATATACTGGCACGCAGTAGCTCACCATTATTTTTTATTTTGTGCATGGAATTGTGACGCGGCAGAGCAGTGTTGTCGCTCTTGCTGTTGTAAACTGCCGACACCATTTTAGGGGTAACATCACCATACTCACCACTCGCCACCTCCATCACTGTAACACAGCCGCCCATGAGATGATGATGATGATGAGCGATCATAATGATGAGATAAGTACTAAGCGATCATAATGATGAGATAAGTACTAAGCGATCATAATGATGAGATAATTACCGGGTGAAAGCATGTACATTGTGACTAATAAATTGCTTGTACAGAAGGACGGTAGTGGCGGTCACTGCAATTTTCAAATACTGACCGCCACTATTTACAGCGCTACTGGCCTCGTGTATAGACGCTACTGGCCACGGAAGGATCCAGTAACCGTTTACACGAGGCCAGTAGCAGGATAATTAGCCGCAGGTAGCATTTGAAAGTTGTAGTGGCGGCTGCTGCTGTCCACGTGTACCACACCTAACCATCAATAAGATTTGGTATTAGGTCGAAATTCACATAAAGATCATGTTACATTGTAGCAATCTGCCGTAGCACATTATTTTATACTACACAAGATGAAATATTCATTTGATACACGAGACGAAATCACAAAATTTCTGGTTAAGTGAAATAAGAATTAAATTAACAGACTGGAATTCAATGTGTACAGTCTAGAGAAAAGTACACGTACGGATCCCAGTAATGATTTTGTATCAACATTTATCATTTGAAACATTCTACAGACCAGTGGAAATTCAGAATACGAATGGATTTTGAAGTAAGCGTATGCTACAACATTAGTGATCCAGTCATTCACAACCTTCTGGGATTTTTACTCAAAGATCTGCCCTTCTGATTGTCGGTTTATAGTGAGAAAAAAAATCAGAATATTGACATTATAATCTTTTCCTCAGGAGATCTACGTCAATTTTCCTGAAGAACACAAAAATTTTTCAGGCCAAACAAAGATATCCTTAATGAATACTAGGATCAAGCCTCACTGAAGTCCGCAGGATTGTGGTACGAAGGACACTCCAGCCCCAGGGACGACAGGAACCGTAGGAGGCCCAGCACCGGTCCCCTGTAGATGCACTGGCCGTCCGCCAGGGCGTAGAGATGGTCGAACTTCTCGAAGAGTTTTGCGGATGGCTGGTGGATGGTGCAAACCACCGTCCGGCCGCCTTGCGCTAGCGTCTTCAGTAAATTGATGCATTGGAAGCTACTGCTGCTGTCCAAACCGCTGAGAGGGAATAGCAGGACGTTAGTGCAGATTAGTTATAATAATGAGAGTTATCCCTACTACATAATAGATAAAACATATGAGTACCTATATCGTGGTTGAGCGGGTATTTGTTTAATTAGGAATCTTAAACGGGTGGCAATCGATTTTAAAATTATCTGAATAGAGTTGCCCACCGTGTTAGTTTTAATTTAATCAGTAAATGACAACTGGAATAAAATCTAATTAAAGCAGTAAATTTTTTCAGCTATATCGATTATTTATGAATAATTGATGGAATAAAGTCTCCTATAGTGATCTTTATTTCACCTGGTGGGCTTGACGAAGAACATTACTAGTGGATTGTCGTCCCCCGGTTTGGAGATAGTATATGTATCTCGGTTATAATTTATCAAAACTTGATGAAATAAACTCATAGAGAAGTTCTCGGAACCCAAGAGTATCACCTGGTCGGTTCATCGAAGAACATCACAGGTGGGTTGTTGACGAGCTCCAAGGCGATGCTGAGACGCTTCCGCTGGCCCCCGGAGAGGTCGCTGGCGCGCGTGTCCTGACACTCTGTCAGACTCAGCGTCTCCAAAATTTCGTTGATCTGACATCATTAACATCAAAGAATAATCATCAGTATTAATCATTATAATCATACTAACAATCATTAGTATTAATTATTAACTAATAATTATTATACAAACACGAGAAATTGTATTCACTCCGACCGTGTCAAGAATTGAGGTGTGAGATTCCATAGCTGTCAGCCTTTTGTAGTTCGAAATCCTACGTTCCAAGAAAAAATCGCAAACGAAATGAAGCAATTCGGGACTAAGATAATATTTAAATGTCACGCAGAATTATACTTGTCCTATTGAAAACACAAGAAAGTGACAACTGTTATGCTAAAAAATAACTCAATTTTTAATTTTTTAAGTGTGGAGGTGAGAAGTTTACTTACAACATCGGATTTTTCAGCGGTGGTCATTTTATCGCCGAGTTTGAGGTTGGCCGAAATGTTCATGGATTCCATGACGGAGAGGTGGGGGTGGAGGTGGTCGTCCTGCATGATGTAGCACGACATCTTCCGGAACTTCCGTAAATTGCGCTCTCGTCCGTTAACGCGGATGGAGCCCACAACGTTACTGATTCTGTGGGTGAAAAATTCTAAATTTTTTATGTCTTTTAAAACAACAATTAAAGTAACTTTGGTGGTTTGAAAGATAAATTTCAACGAACGGAGGAATAAAAACAAAACCGCTAAATTCGGAAATCAAAAGAAGACACGGAATATAGAGTAATTTTCAAAACAATGAATAACATCAAATATAACAAGTTATTACAATCTGGAATGCTGGAACAGCTTTTTTGCCGTTAAGGATATATCCCTGAACAACGTTTGGCTCGTTGAAGTTTGCTGGCTGCGTGAGTGCCTCAGCGATCATCATCTCACGATTAAAAAGAAAATTAAATGAGGTGAGACGATAATCTTGTCCTTTTACCTCCCTAGAAAGTTTCTGTTGTTATTTATCATAACAAATGGTCCTCATGAGTGAGTTAAAGGTAATAAGTTTATTAACCTGTAGCCCGCAGCAATGTTCATAATCGCAAACGGCTTAAGTCCTCATTATGGTCAAAGGTTAAATTAAAGGTTAAGTCCGCTAATCTGTATCCCGCAGCAATGTTCATAATAGCAAACGGCTCAAGCCCACGTAATGGTTAAAGGTTATGTACATTAACCTGTATCCCGCAGCAATAATCATAATTGCAAACGGTTCAAGTCCTCATTATTGTTGAAGATTAAGTCCATTAAGCTGTAGCACGCAGCAATGTTCCCAATCGCAAACGGTTCAAGTCTTCATAATGATGAAAGGGTACGTTAAGATTAAGCCCATTAACCTGTAGCCAGCAGCGATGTTCATAAGTGTGCTCTTGCCGGCGCCGGAAGGCCCCATGATCGCCGTCAGCTGTCCTGACCTCAAGCTCCCGCTTACACCTTTCAGGATAGTCTTGTATCCTGGGGATAAAGAGATAGTCTTAAAGGGGATAATAAGGGGATAAAGGGATAGTCTTAAAGGGGATAATAAGGGGATAAAGGGATAGTCTTAGAGGGGATAATAAGGGGATAAAGGGATAGTCTTAAAGGGGATAATAAGGGGATAAAGGGATAGTCNGGGATAGATAGAAAGGGATAGATAAGGAAAGGGGATAAAGAGATAGTCTTGTATCCCGCGAGGGATAAAGGGATAGTCCTGTATCCTGCGGGGGATAAAGGTATAGTCTTGTATCCTGCGGGGGATAAAGGTATAGTCTTGTATCCTGCGAGGGATAAAGGGATAGTCTTGTATCCTGCGGGGATAAAGGGATAGTCTTGTTTCCTGCCAAGAATCTAGGGATATTTTTTATCCTGCGAAGGACATAACGTCTAGAATCGTACGGCAGCAAAGGGCTCAGTGAGTGCAGATGTGGGAAATTTGAATGGCAGACATTTAACACTTATTTCAATATTTTAATCTTGATTTTTGTTTACAGTTACGAACAGAATTTGTTCTCTCAACTTGATCACCCGAATAAATTAATTATTTTCCGGGAATCAACAGCATTCCAGCAGCACAGTTTTTTGAACATGTCATCGCCAGAACAATTAACAATTAAAAAAATTTTTCATTCCTTAAACACTAATAAAAATTCTTTGTTACAATTTAAGCGGCACGTAAAATTGCCTTACAACGTGAAGAAGTTTGATAAATGTAGATATTTGGCGCCATAGAGCTTGGCATTCACACATCTGGTTAGGGGCTACGAAAATATTGGTGTTTAAATTTAGCCATATGCATCAAAACAACATTAGTCATATGCATCAATGATGACAACATTAATTTGAGGAATGGCATGCAAGTAAAATAATGTAAAAACGTGAAAAAATTCAGAAATCACAGATGTTGGCGCCATAGAGCCAGACACACAAACCTCTGTTGCGGCCCTCGGGTACAGAGAAGGCCAGGTCGCAGAAATCGATGTCGACAGGCGGTCGTTTGGGCAACCGCGACATGATGATGCCTGCGCCGTTCACGACTTTCTTGCGCAGGTCATTGCTGCACAACACGGCAGCTTTAGGCGCCATACCATCAGCGGGATCGATTAGATCGTTACTAAGTTTGACAACATGTTAATAAAGGGCGGCGTATGAGTACCTACGCACGGGCAGATCGATGAATAGTTTTTAGAGGATGAAAACGTACATACTATATATAATGTATAGTTTTCGAGGGTGAAGAAAAACCAAATATATCGTTTTCGGGGGTGAAGAAGTACCAAATATATAATTTAGGAGGGCGAAATATAATTCGGTTCCGAGGGAGTTCTAAATAACTTGGATTTATGTTTAGAGTGACTGTACTCAGACTCTGCACGATAACGTGTACTCTGAATAAAATGGCAAACAAACATCTTAACTCTTATGGTACATTGTCTAAAAACTTTATGTAATCTTTATTTTTCATGATGTAATTTAATCTTGATTAATATTGATTCTAACACAACACTTCATACAGTAAAACGTTCATGTTTCAGGACAATAGATGATCAAAGTTTTGAAACTCGGATAAAAATTATATTTAAACTTCGCCTGATATTTGCCTTTGTAGTTTAAGGCTTATAAGGCCTGCAGCTATACGGATATTTTATGTTACAACTATGCATATAGATTAAACGCACCACCAATCCCATTTACTTAAATTCACGAAACTATGTAAATACATTGTACGATTTTGATAAAACAACCATGGTCGACATACCCCACACGGTTGTGGTAAAACCACCAAGGACAACAATACCTTATACAGCTATGGTAGAACAACCACAACCAACAATACCTTATTCGGTTGTGGTTGAGCGCGTGCTCCTGGGTGAGGGTAGTGGGGTATGCCCTTGGGTTGCTGGGTATGAGGTGGGTAGCATCGTTGGACGTGCCCCCGGCAGACGCCAGGTTTCTGTGGAAGTCAGCATACCCCCCGACGGTGTTGCCGCAGGGCACCTGTACGCTCAGCAGCTCGGCCATTCCTGCGTCTTGATTCCTCGATCACTTGATGCAAGGATACCAGCGAGAGGCTTTGTTAAATGTCACTGTGTTTTGTTCATGGCCGCAGTGATTATTTTTGTAAAATCACTTCATTTATTTTCAATTGAAACACAGGACGGGTTTTTTGAAACACACTTCTTCCGTCGGGTGCAAACACTGAGTAGGATTTTTTAGCATACGCTATTGCCGTCCCGTGTAAATACTGATCGCGATTTTAGAGTGAACACTGTTTCAATTCAATAAAAACCTATAAGTGCATCGATTGCGGTAAAGAAATTTTCCATTCACACTTATTCCATGCCGAGCGACACTCGAAGATCATGCAGGCTGGTTACGTGAGACGAACGTTATTTATCTCGTCATTGTTGACAACAGCAACACTCACAGCCTACACGTACAGCACGTCTCATGTTTTAATGACGAGACTCCAGGTCCTCTACGTGACGTATCTGCACTCAACGCAGGCGTTATTTATCATCATGAACACGTATATCAACAGAGCGCACAGCACGCGATGACGAGATTCAACGTCAAGATAAGCTTGATGATCTTAGCTCATGTGTTGAACTTCTGTTGAATAAACAATACGGAACAAATAGTAGGTATATAATTTCTCGTATTTATCTAAAATTCACAGAGATTACCTCGAAAAATATTGAACTTGATAAGGTGAGTGATGAAAGTAGAATCGATTTTCATTAGAGATTTAGAAAAAAATGCATTTTATTGGCCTCAAAAGTAGACTAAATATGAAAAAATAACCATCATGTGAAAACCAATTTAATTACAAAATTATAGTACTTAATGCCATCAATTTATCTCATTGATAAAGTTTGAAAGTTTGATGACACATTACATAAGAGCGATGAATGAGCTCTGGAAATAATGCTGCCAGCACTAACAACTTCTGAAGTCATTCACCTCGAATGATTGCCTAGGGCCATCGTTTTGTTTGATCTGTGCTGCTCACGTTAAATGTGTGCTATACTACCAACTAGTATTAAATATAGGGGAAAATAGCTCTAAACCACAGCGCGGTAACGCTTCTGCGGCTAAAACATCCAAAATGACATTGATTCAGGGAGTCGTAAAAAATACCCTCTGTGCAATCGGGAAAAACTGCAGGGCTCAATGATGGGACTGCAGGGCTCAATGATGGGACTGCAGGGCTCAATGCTGGACTGCAGGGCTCAATGATGGGACTGCATGGCTCAATGATGGGACTGCAGGGTTCAATGATGGGACTGCATGGCTCAATGATGTGACTGCAGGGCTCAATGATGTGACTGCATGGCTCAATGATGGGACTTCAGGGCTCAATGATGGGACTGCATGGCTCAATGATGGGACTGCAGGGTTCAATGATGGGACTGCAGGGCTCAATGATGTGACTGCAGGGCTCAATGATGGGACTTCAGGGCTCAATGATGGGTCTGCAGGGCTCAATTATGGGACTGCAGGGCTCAATGATGGGACTGCAGGGGCTCAATGATGGGACTGCAGGGCTCAGAGATGGGACTGCAGGGCTCAATAATGGGACTGCAGGGCTCAATGATGGCACTGCAGGGCTCAATGATGGAACTGCAGGGCTCAATGAGATGGGACTGCAGGGCTCAATGATGGGGCTGCAGGGCTCAATGATGGGACTGCAGGGCTCAATGATGGGAGCGAAAGGCTCAATGATGGACTGCAGGGCTCAATGATGGGACTGCAGGGCTCAATGATGGGACTGCAGGGCTCAAAGATAGGAGCGTACGTAAGGCTTGATGATGGCGCTCGTTCTGCGTCGTCTAAGGATTCCCACCGCATTCTCTTCCTTATTATTTAAACTGAAACTTCTAAGCTGCCATCTAGCGTCGAAGATGAAAGTGTAAAGGCAAAACCGATACAATGTTTTATTTATGTCGAAAATTTAACAAATTTTGGAGCACATAAGAGCAAAATGTTTGTATTAAGTAGTAACAAATGATAAATGAAATGATGAAAAGAATGTATCGGACGAAGAATTATCTCGAACGAATGCGAAAGAAATTGCAAGAGATGGAAGATTTTCTAATTATTTTCTTTGTTCCGTATATTAATAAATAATAATGATTATTTAGGACATTTCACGCAACTTTTTCCGAAAAAAATAGTACTATATAAATGCCTTTGATGCTGATTAAATACTTTCGACCATTCCAAATGCCGGTAATTTTTTTACAATTACGACCGAGTTCAATGAATCCCAAGTCTGCTGCACGGTCCGCTTTTAGCCAGCAGGTATAAATACCGGTCGTATAATGCCAGGCTGCAGGCCCAAGGCCAGAGACTGGAGCTAATTTGTGATGCATCGTAGCATTGTTTGCTGTAGAGGAGAAAACGAATGAAAATTGTTGCTCTGATATAATGCAAATCAATGCTAAGCGCACGAATAGATTCACATGATAAATATATTAAGCTAATATGACTTGTGTTTACTTATCCATGGTTGAAACATTACAAGATTCGGTGCTGTTTGTTACGATATATACTGTACGTACGTTGCTTAATTAAGCAGCCAGTTCCTGTATTGAAGATCAATAGCTTTAGCATCACCGAAGTATATGATTTGAAATTTAAACTGCCACAATATGTGTTACTCTTTTATGTTATCAACATTGATGCATGTGGATAATTTAATGTGTTATAAACATTATTATGCGCCATAACACTTAAAAAGTTGTTAAATTGCATTAAATGTGTTATAAACATATGGCGTCATAACATGTAACAAAAGTTCATAAAATGTCATCAAAAAGTCAATTTACCACAGCTATGTAACCGCAGAAAATCGCCTTATTGGGAGCGCTACATAATTTCCCTGCACTGATTGTTCCAAATAATTGCTCTGAAGACATGAAGAACAATGAAATTATTTCTTAACACCCGCGTCGTCGCGTGCGTGCACTGAACTGAGATTCCCATTGTCATGCGGTCCACAGGCTCGCTAATAAAAAGATGTGCAAGTCAGCATACAATGAAATCTTAAAAGGAAGAATCAAAATATAATTTCAGCGTAATTTTCTGGTAAAAATGTTTACTATAATGCAGTGCAAAAGGGTAATTAATTATTGGTGCGAAGTATAAGAAGAATTTCATGGTTTCATCGGGAAAACAGATTTTATAAAATATTTCCAATGAATGTTTAATAGAAAACTTGATTACAAAAGATAAACGGAAAATTTACAAACATTAACAAAGACACAGTTTTGTAAACAGTAATATCGTAATATGTAACAAGATAAGGAAATACGACAAGAACACAATAGGATTTCAGGCATCAGCGTCATTGTTTGCGTTTCACTACTTCGCGAGGCAATATCCGCAAACTGATCAAACATCCGCAAACAGTTTCAGACTAATGGCGCCGAAGCACTACAAGAATGAAGAAAATGTCACGCGTAGCAAGGAGTTGGGGGCTTTCGACGATATTCAGCCGACTTTTGCATTCGAAAAACACCGAGGCTTTATGTTGTGAACTCGAATCCGAAAAATTCAACTCAACCCATCACATGGAAATGTACGAATTCAATAGGAGAAAGTAGAGAACAGAAACATTTAATCGAATTATTTCGAAAGTGTTCCCATACATGCGTGTGATTTATTCATGCACGCAAACGGAAAACCGTGTGAAATCTCTTTCACGGATAAACTAAATTCCTTATATTATAGATAAAGAAAGCATCCTTTGTTCACGGCAAAGTATTGAGTTCAACGCGTTCCTATGAATACGTCGATCGGGAGCATAGCTCTTAGTTCACGAGGTTCACATTAGTTGAAAACAAAATTTATATCATGTTAAGCTCCTGGAAAGCAGAAAGTCTAAAAAATATAACTCAGTACTCACTGCAGTGAGTGACAGATCTGAGAGCATATTTTCTCGTCGACGAAAACTTGAGGTCACGGACGGACAGACAGACAGACGGACGGACGGACAGACAGACAGGCAGACGGACATGCCGAGCACAACAGTGAATTTTTCCATAAATAAGAAAATGCGATAAAAATGTCACTACTTGAAAAGCACGAGGTGTATTTATAGGCACGCACATGGCGGCTGAGCATCGGCTGCCAAACGCGTGTTTGGGTTGGCAGGCTTGGTTATTGCAGGAGAGGTCATTGCTCTGCTGAATAAATAACACCGTGAATAAATCATTGTATCGATGAGCTCACTGAGTGACATCAAATTACATCGACAGTTGCACCGAGTGATAGCGTGACCTATACTCCTGTCACCTATTAAAATAAGGCGGGCAGCTCGATGTATTTTTGGTTGCAGTACGCATCCAAAACTCACGTGCATTACGTACCCGTAACACAGGGGCGTGGTCGCCACCATTTATGCCAGTAAGTCATCAATGTTCAACAAAATTCATCAGAAAATAAAAGTATGCGGAGTTTCTGTATAGTCTCAAATTAGGAATTCAACTGAATTCGACACAACTAATGTGGTTTTTGAAAGGCAACCTAATACCAACCGCGGATCACAGATATTAGCTAGACATCACTATCATTTGTGAATATGATAATGCTTTTTACAATATTTATAATAGAAGAGTCTACGGTAAATGGACCAGTAGTTCACTATCTATCCGAACTTCATGGCTTTAATGATCCGAATCAAATAGAATGCATGAAATATGAAGGAGAAAAATTATCCCACAGACTCTCAACTGAATTTCAGTCTTCAGGAATTACAGTGAAGAAAATACTACTAGAAATAGAAGTTGCTTCGAGTATAAATTCACAGTAAATTTTAAGGCTACTATCGAAATTGTGTAATAATTTCTAAGCTTACAGTTTAAAAAGAAACTTAGAATTATGGATTTATTGAAGGTTCACATCATATATTGAGATATCAGGAGAAGAATGATATAAAACATAACATAATATAGTGATATCGGCGCTGAAGAGTAGGCCTGATGTGGCCTGTCGCCGATTCTTTTACTTTTCGGACTTGTTCACATAAGATCTCAAATCGTCGTGTCATTTCACTGGATCTATTCAAGACTGGCGATAGTTTGAAATAGCTACTAGACTTCCACCGGGTTCGATATGGTGCTATAGGCATTTCAAGTTTGAACATATATTTTTCCATAGCTTTATCTAGTCTGTTCTTGAACGCGTTCATACTTGGAGCGCCAACGATTTCATCAGGGAGGCTGTTCCACATGTCGGTGATTCGAAGCGAGAAGAAATGTTGTCGCGTGGAGAAGTTGCAGTGTAGTTTTCTTAGTTTATAGCTGTAGCCCCTGGTGTTGGTTCTTGTTTCAAATTCTAGTAATCCTTCTGGGACCTTGTATACACCATGAGTATACTTGTATACTTCAATGAGGTCCCCACGCAGACGTCGATAACTGAGGCTTGGAAGCTTCACAATCTTCAATCTTTCTTCATACGACTTCCTCTTCAAGCCTGGAATTATCCTTGTTGCACGTCTTTGAACACTCTCTATTTGTTGCATTACAATGTGTTAATTAATTAATTTAATTAATTAATTAATTAATT